AAGAATTAGGAGATTTTTGTGAATAGTTTGGATTTAACACGATGCCTTCCTCCAAAGACGCTGATAAAAGAAAATATAAAAGTAGAAAATATAGCAATAAACCAGGAACCAATAAAACTTCGGGTAAAGACAAGTTTTCTAAGAAATTTTCTCCAAAAAATAATAATTTTAAAAGTACCAGGGGAAAAAGTAGGATACCTGTTTGTTATAATTGCGGAAAAGTAGGCCATTATAAGAATGAATGCAGAATAAAGAAAAAAATAGATGCCCTACAATTAGATGATAATATTAGAGATCAACTGTTTAATATATTACAAATAAGTAGGGAGTCTTTTGATAGTTCTTCTTGTTCTGAACTAGAAATACTGACGGGAGAAATAGAAAACGAAGATTTGATTTTCAGTAGCTCAGACTCAGGTCATGATAATACTGATACTAATTGTTTCTGCAATACCCTTACTAAAGAAGAAAATCTAATCCTAGATATAATAAACAAAATAACTGATTCTGAGACTAAGCGAGAAGCTCTAGTCCAATATATAAACATAGCCAAAATAAATAAAAAGCCCTCTTCTCCTTTAATTTGCACACAAGAGGACTATAGTTTTGCAAAAATTCTTAAGAGAGTCGAAGACAAAAATAATAATAATCATAAGGCACCTATAGTCTCTGAACTAAGACATGAAATCAATGAAGTTCGTGATGAACTAATAAAACTAAAAAATAGGGTACAAATTCTAGAGTTGGCCTCCAACCCTGAAGATAGTCCTAGCAATTCAGACGATGAAATAGAATTTAATGCTATCATAAATAATTATAAAAAAGCCTCTACCCCCGGTAGTAGAAGAATTTCCTCCTAAGGTAGTAAAAGATGAACCAGAGTCTTCTAATATGGTACAAGATTGTAATTATGTTAGTATTCTTGACAAAGTAATTACCCAAAAATGGTTCACTATGATAAAGATAATTGTTCATAAAGAATATAGTTTCTAGACCCTTGCTTTAATAGACTCAGGTGCAGACCTGAATTGCATAAATGAAGGACTAGTTCCTACTAAATATTTTAGTAAGACGACTCAAGTCTTAAATACAGCAGATGGTAGCAAGATGATTATAAATTATAAACTTTCAAATGCTGCAGTATGTAATAATGGAAATTGCTTTGAGTTCCCCTTTATTATGGTAAAAGGATTAAGCCAATCTGTAATCCTGGGAACACCATTTTTAAACATGCTATACCCAATAAAAATTGATAGTACAGGAATTGAAGCCAATATAGAAGGACATAATGTGAAATTTGAATTTCTTGAGAAACCTAAGACTTGAGAAATTAACAATATCAAAGAAACAATTTTTAATAAAGAAATTTTTTTATATTTTCTCAAAGAAGAAATTAAAGATAAACAGATAGAAGCTAAGCTCTTACTTCCTGAGAATAAAAGGATAATAGAAAATATTAAAAATAATATTGAAAGAGAAATATGTGCTGAACTACCAAATGCTTTTTGGGAAAGAAAGAAGCATATTGTCAGTCTACCCTATGAAACTGATTTTCATGAAAATAAAATCCCTACTAAGGCTAGACCAATACAAATGAACCCCTGACTCTTAGAAATTTGCAAAAAAGAGATTGCTGATCTATTGCAGAAAAGGCTTATTAGAAAAAGTTCCTCTCCTTGGAGTTGCCCAGCGTTCTACGTGGAAAAAGCTTCTGAAATAGGAAGAGGAGCTCCCTGGTTGGTAATAAACTATAAACCGCATAATAAAGCATTAAGATGGGTTAGGTACCCTATCCCCAATAAAAAAGATTTGTTAGATAGGCAGGTAAATGCCTGTATTTTTTCTAAAAAATCTGGATATTGGCAGATCCAAATTGTTGAGAAGGATAAATATAAGACTGCCTTTAATGTCCCTTTTGGGCAATATGAATGGAACGTAATGCCTTTTGGTCTTAAAAATGCTCCTTCAGAATTCCAGAACATTATGAATGATATTTTCAACCCTTATAAAAAATTTATGATTGTTTATATTGATGATGTTTTAATATTCTCTGAAAGCATTGAACAACATTTTAAGCACTTACATATTTTTGTTAAGGCAATAAAATCTGCAGGACTAGTCGTTTCAGCAAGAAAGATTAGTCTTTGTCAGACAAAAATGAGATTTTTAGGACACAATATCTTTCAAGGTAGCATAGTCCCGATTGATAGGGCTATTGAATTTTCAAATAAATTCCCAGATATCATCACAAATAAAACTGAACTTCAAAGGTTTTTGGGTTGTCTAAAGTATATTGCTGATTTTTTTAAAGATTTAGCCATTGATGCTAAACCATTATTTCAAAGACTTCGAAAAAACCCACTTGAATGGACCGACATTCATATGATGGCAGTAAGAAAAATAAAGTTAAAAGCCAAAAAATTACCTTGTCTTACACTTTCAAACCCTGTTGCTTTCAAAATAATTGAATGTGATGCTTCGGAGATAGGATTGGAAGGAATCCTAAAACAGAAAATTAAAAATACTGAACAACTGGTACGATTCACTTCTAAAGTTTGGAATCCAACACAGCAAAACTACTCAACGATTAAAAAAGAACTTCTGGCTATTTTCCATTGTGTCACTAAATTCCAAAGTGACTTGCTCAATAAAAAATTTCTTATCCGCACGGATTGTAAAGCTGCTCGAGATATTCTTCAAAAAGATGTCAAAAAATTAGTTTCCAAGCAAATTTTTGCTCGATGGCAAGGTATACTCTCTTCATTTGAATTTAACATTGAACACATTACCGGAAATACTAATTATCTTCCTGATTTTTTACCTCGTGAGTTTTTGTAGGGGGGAGAGGATGATGGCAAACACTAGCACTAGCAAGGGAAAAGGAAAAATGGAAGTATTCCCTGTACCAAGTAGAGCGCTAATAGCCTCAACCTGACCAATAACACCCAATCAAATAATTAAAAAACAAGCGCAAGAAATAACATTCTCGCCTAAACCAATACCAATAACAACATCAATAGAAGAAAAAAGTAGGTTCTTGGAAACCTCTTTTATACCAATTATGGTAATAGAAATCCATAGAGATAATGATCCATATGAAATAGCAAATATTTATATGAATAACCATATACATCCAAACTATGGGGATAAGACCAGAGAATATTATGAAGCTATCTACCTGGAAACAGGATCAATTACATTGGTCCATTTCTATAAAAAAAGTACAAATATGATAGCCTACTCTAAATTTCAGATACGAAGAATACTTTCGTATAAAGACTGGGGTATGGAACCTTCAAAACCAAGAAAAATGCAATCAGAAGGATTTACTAATAGATATTTTCAATACTTTGAATATATTACAGCCTGGCATAAAGTATTTGCCTTTTAAAATAATAACAACTCTCATACATGGTTCATACAAATAAAGATACCAATAGTGGGAGAATTCCCAAACTGGTTTACAAATTGGTTCCGATTATGGGGCTCGGGGACAGAAATATTACCACTTAATATCCAAGCTTCTCAACGGAAATTCATAGAATATAATAATAATGATACCAGAATAGACCTTCATATGTATTTCATGGCTCTATATCAAGTCCATGGATTATGAAATGGTCCTATCAATTAACAGAAGATTATACTAATAATTGGGAATACATTCCCGAACTCGGAAGACAAATATACATAAAATGGTGGGATGTATATGAAAATAAGACCATTAATCCCAAAAATACAAAATTGAAAAAAGTACACTTGCACCCCCAAAAGAAGAAGTTAATATGACCACCTATATTAATTAAATAAGGCAACAAAATCGTACTGCTACGAAAGAAGAACTCAAAAGAAAATTGTTTCAAATGTTCGATGAAGAAGAAGAAGCAATGTCTACGTCCACATAGAATGAAGAAGACTACGCACAGGAAAATGAAGACATAGAGTTCGGACTATCCCAAAGAGGATGAACAATTAAAATACTATTCAGGATGGGACTGCACACGAGTCTTGCAAAATAGTTCCTGTCGACAAAATTGTCCCTGCCGACAGAATAGTCACCTTTTCACTATTCACCTTTTTGTCTTGTCACCTTTTAGTATTCACACCTTTTGGTCTTTTCACTGACATCCATGGGACCTATCCAGCACCACAGGCATCCTCAGACACTGTAGTGGACTTGAAATCTTTCTTTCACATCCGCTGGCTATAAAAGGGAAGAGGAGGCTCATTTCAGAGGGCTACGAGTTTTCTCCCTCAGTCTCCACTTACCTCTCTACAACCCTATCTCTTCGTCTTCGTCTTTGCAGCTCTACTACTACTACCCTCTCTCTCCATCTCTGCCACTATTTCTCTGCAACTACTTCTCTGTAACCTCTTCATCTCTGCAACCTATTTACTACTACTCTCTCCATCTCTGCCACTATTTCTCTGCAACTACTTCTCTATAACCTCTTCATCTCTGCAACCTATTTACTGTTACTCTACTCTCTCTCTACTGTTAATTTCTACTGTATATCTGGCCAACCAACCAGGTTACATCTTTTAAGAACGATTTTGAGTGTGATATATGTGTGATTGTAATTGGGACTCACTACCCCACTATTGTCCAGCCGAGTGGAAATTATTTTCTAGCTGTTGTAAGTGTCATATGTAAGTTTTTCCGTATATCTTACTCTGCAAGTTAAATTAGTAGTTTGTTTAAAAGTTAGAAATGTTTCATATGTGAATTGGCTTGTAATTGATATTTCACCGCTTTTATGTATTCTTTGCTTAGGAGTATTTATCTTCATAAAGTTTGTGTACCATTGATTCTTAACTCACATCTTCATAAAGTTTGTGGATATAGTTGGGAATGTATTCCCAAGTACATAATTGGGAATGTGTATATATATATATATATATAGGTAGCCACTACGCAACACCTATGGGCGAAAATGAACAGTGTTTTCACCCATAGGCTCAGTGCCGTCCAATTTTTTTTAACAGTGTGGATTAAAAGACCGCAACGGACATAGCATGTCCGTGGCGGTATATTTTCATGCAAAGAAACATGGGAAACCGCCATGGCTCCCGTAGATCCATGACAGTTTTTAGGGCAAAACCGCAACATGTCCGTGGCAAGCGAAATACTATTCAATTTCGCCTATAGGCCTTTCTAAGAGTTTTCCATATATATATATACTCTACTTATTGTTATTGTTAAATGTATTATAGCCTCTTGGTGGGCCAACCATGGACAAACTGCCCCCAACTTACAAAAGATGGTGCAACAGATATTGAACTTGACTTGTACATTGTCCGGCTGCGAGTGCAACTTCAGCACCTTATGGTGAATATGCTATTTATCCTCAGCCTCATCTCCTATCAATTTACGACAATAACTTTATCGATACTTTTTTTTTAAAGTAAAGAATTGTAATATGGAAACGGTAGACAAATAGACTCGAGCAGAAGAGATTGAACGACCTTGTTTTCATTCAGTACAATCAAAGGTTTGAAGGAGCGCCATCTAGATCGGTTTCAAATTGAAGACCTCATACTTGTGAAAGGTTATCCAACAAGAAAGTGGTTGGTTGAGCCCGATGCTGGGGATGAGCTTGTATTCAAGGGAGAGAGCTTGACATGGACCCAAGTGCAAGAGGCAGCTGGTTTGGCATCGAGGCCTCTGAGATCTGCTAGATCCCAAACACAAAGAAAGGGGAAGGAAGTGGCCCAAGAAAAGGGAAAGGGGAAGGGGAAGAAGAAGGTGCAGACAAGTTGGAGGACGACGATCTTGGAGGAAGAGGAGGATGTAGACTCAGAGGAGACAAGGGAAGAAGGTTTCTATGTGGAGGAGGAGGATGACTCTGATGATGATGGCTTGGCATCATTATCAGATTCAGGTGGATTGTATGCTGGACGTCGACCTCGTGTTGCTACTGATGATGAAACTTAAGCTCATAATTGAATTCATCATATTTGATGGGGTGAAGAAGGGTTTTTGTAGTTTATGGCCTTTGTTGGTCGGATGTGACTTTTTTCTAATGACTTTTGAAACTTTTGTGATTTGTGAGTGACTTCTGATTTGTGAGATTTGAAGGACATCTCAAGTTGATTTTATCTTTTAATGTTGCTTTTGAGTTATAATTTAAAGTCTAAAGTTGTAAATGTTTGTTTGTTTAGTGCTTTCAACATCTTAACAATGTATTATATAAAAACGACAATTCTATATACAATAAATTGGGGGGAGGTGTGGGGGATCCAACCTTTTTAAAATAAAGGCAACACTGGCCCCCTTTGGGTTTGGTCGGCCGCCTTAGCACTTAAGCGGCCCATAGCCCAAACCACCTAGGCGGCCGCCTATGCCTTCTTGAACTTGCTTTCTTAGTTCCCTAGGTGTCTGGCTTCATCCTCCAACCTCCAGTTCATTCTATGAAGATTTCGGTTGGAATATATGGGGTTTCGAGACCCCATAAGGAAGAAGGCAATTCTGGATTTTTGTAACAAGCACTCACCAGACATTCTTCCGGTACCCAGCCTCACTCTTCCTATGGTCTGCCAGATTTGGAAATGTGAACTTTGCCAATGGGATGACCTAGACTCACAAGATGCCTAAGGAGTCATTTGGGTTGTCTAACTCAACCGTCCTTCTTCGAAAAAATATTCCTTCTTGGTCGCCATGTCTGGTCCAGAATTTCCTATAGCTGTGCCTGGAAATTCTCTGCTGTTTACAGCCCCAACAACCCACTATTAGAAACCTGCTATGGGATGAATTAGATAGAGTTACTTCCACACGTGCCCATGGTGCATGGGGGTTGACTTCAATGTCAAAAGGTGGTCCTTTGAGCGAAACAGTGAGGTTAGATTTGCAAGCATGGCAGATGTCGCATGGATATTCCTTTCAATAGCTTAGACTTCACTTGGTTGAACCACTCTGAAATCCCTAGCCTCTCTAGGTTGGACCACTTACGCACTTTTATAGAGTGGGATGAATTATTCCTGGGAACCCATTCCTTTGTCCTCCTGAAACCTACCTTGGACCACAAATCAATCCTACTTGATACTTCTCTAGGATTGGCAGGCAAATGCCTGTTTAGATTCAAACTTTCCTTGTTTGAAGAAACAAACTTCCTCAGCCTAGTCCCAAAGTGGTGCAACTCTTTCTTGGTCAATCAATGGGCTGGCTTCCATCTCCAAAAGAAGGTACAATTGCTGAAGACCTTGGTTAAATAATGGAGCAGGCATCTTCTGGGCAATGTCAGATCATCTAAAGAGTCCATCTTGAGAAAAATCAACAAACTAGAAATCCTTGAAGAATCCAGAACGCTTACGCAGGAGGAAAGGACCAAAAAGTGAACTACCTGACAATCCTCAAAAGTAGGGGAATATTCTGGTACATCGGTCCAGAATAAATTGGCTTAAACTCGGGGACAGAAGTACCAAAGTTTTCCACAAGATTGCTAATTGTGAACATCGCAAACATCGCTACAATACCGTTACCCGGCATGTACACCCAACCTAAGAGATAAGTGTGCTATCATTAAATTTTTCAGCAGACTCTTCTCTGTCGAGAGAGCCCCTAAACTGAATATGGTAGAACTCACTTTCATTATCCACTGAGCAGGCAGTGTGGCTCAAGTGGCCGTTCACAGAGGCTGAAATTCTGAAGGCAGCCAAGGACAGGACAAAGCACCTTGCCTGATGGTTGACCAGTGAACCTATTCAGGCAGTTTTTGGGATACAATGTGCCTAAATATTTTTTGTTCATTGAGTTTCACCATAGAGGTAGGATCCATAAAGGTAGATCAATAAGATTACTCAACAACTCATATGAACTCCCCCTTAAGTTCTTGCTTCTTGCCTAAGAGAAGTCCTCCTATGGTTTATCTCTCCAAATCAAGGGACTTTTGTCAAGGACAGATAAATCTTAGATGGGGCTCTTTTGGCCCATGATGCATTCGTTCGAGGCACCTAGCAAAATTCCTTGGCGTGGATTGGACTCTACTAGATGGTCTATTGGCTAGAATGGGCTTTGGGGAGAAATGGAGACTTTGGATGAGAGGGTGTTTCAGTGCCCTACTTCTCTATGCTCATCAATGGCTGCCCAAAGGCTACTTTCCCTCAAGGGTCAAGGGATCTCTGGCAAAGGGGGGGGAGGGAAGGGGGGGGGGGGTGTGTGCTCTTTCCTCTTCCTATTTGCATAGTTCCAGTAGATCAGATAGATTGTACCATCAAGGCATTTTGGAAGGTTTCATACTAGAAAAATGAGGAGAAGGCTGTTTACCATTTGCAAATATGACAATGCATTCATACTTCATGACGCTACTCAACAACAAATGGATGCCCTGAGGCTTTACCTAAGATGTCTTGAGGTTACAATGGGACTCAAGATAAAATTGGCCAAGTCTAAAATAGTCGCATTGCCTCTGGATTCCGTCTCGATCTCCTCTTCCTCTCAATCATCCCTCTCAGTGGGCTCGAGCTTTGTCAACAACATGGATATGGCCGAGGGAGACATCAACCAAATTATGAGGATCGTGGGCTTCAAGTTTGATGGCTCGCTAGAAGACGTCAAGGCTTTCTTTCACTCTAACACCCAATCTCGCTTTAAAGTAAGTAAAAAGAAAGGCCAAAGAGAGCCCCACACCGTCATCTTTGGGGTAAACTATGATTTGGGCGCATCCTCTAACCCTAGCGCCTTTGTTCCGGCTGCACCCTCTGCAGCCCACCCCACCCCCAGACGCTCTTCAAGACGTACTCCTTGTTCTTGATGCCTTGTCATGAATCTCCTTGTATGGAACATCAAGGGCCCCGGATCCCCCTTCAAGAAGAGCTTGGTTCGCTCTTTTGGCTCTGCCCTCTCCCCCATAATTCTCTCTGTCGATCAATCACTAGGATGTATCATCACAGTCTGTTGGAGGGATTCAGGATCACAAATGCCGACCCCACTGTTTCCCACCTCCAATATGTGGATGACACCATCCTTTTTTGCGGTGCTTCATCATAATAGGTGGACTCCCTGCTACTGTCTCGACCCTGCTCCCTACCGTCCCTGTCGGACCCACAGAGGGCTAAGCTCGGGCCTGCTAGAGGACCATAGGGTGTGGGTTCACGACTACAGGTAGTGAGTGCCACTCGGGTTGGAGTGCTCAACACTTCGAAAAAGAAGGAATTTTCAGTATCAAAGCCAATCACAAAAAGAAACGAAAAATGAAACACAATATACATAACCATAGTTCGCTGGACAAACAAGTCTCAAAATATATATAACAGTCCAAAATAGTACATATAGGTCTAAGGCACAAAAGGCCCAACATCAAGACATATTGCCAAATCAAAATGGACTATATGGCTAGACTGCCAACCAAAACATATATTGTAAAATGGAGCTTCAACAGAAGTGAAGTAAGGGACCCCAAGCGTGACCACTAGGACACGCCACTCTAATCACACTGGCTATCACTCTACATGGAGGAAAAATTAAAAGAGTGAGCTGTAAAGCCCAACAAATAAGATCTAGGTGCCATGCTTTCATGCTTACAAATATTATATCATGACAATAATCAGGGTTTTATGCAAGTGTTACAAAACATGGAGTCATGTGTCAAATTCATATTTAAACAAATGTGTCATGCATGATTTGTTTCATGGAGTAATAACTAATTAGATTAGTCAAATATGATTGTAATAAGAAGTCGATCAAATCATTCAAGCATGAGCATAATAACAGATCAAAACAATTAGGCATGTATGTAACAAGCATAATCAAGATCAAGAGATACCAACTAACTCTTGAAGTAGAAGCCCCACTCATTAGGCCAATCAAATCCTGATGCGGAGAGCCTCTACCATCACAACCAGGAGAGAAGCACCACCAACGGGTAAATCTGTTGCGTAGTGCCTCACACACGCACACGGTCCTCAACGCGTTTTGGGCTTTTGATAGGCACTGGCCTTGCAAGACATGACCCTCTCAGTACGCTTATGGCGAGAGAGCATTACACTACTAATGGGATCCCAATGAGTAGTGCCTCACATAAGTTTTGGGGGAGCGACCACCCAAACACACACACTCCTAACTCTCATCCTATCATAGAGAGCAGGGAAAGATCACAGTTGCCAGCATAAATATCTTATCAGATCATAACAGAAGCATGTTTCCATGTGCACTTATCTTATTGAAAGCATGTTACCATGCACACGTATCTTATCAGAAGCATGTTACGATGTACACGTCTTATCAAAAGCATGATACCATACACACATCTTGTCAGAAGCATGTTACCATGCACACATATCTTGTCAAAAGCATGTTACCATGCTCACATCATGCACACATATCTTGTCAGAAGCATGTTACCACATATTTTATCAGAAGCATGTTACCATGCACACATATCTTATCAGAAGCATGTCACCATTCATGGATCATATAATAGAACCATGTCTCCATTCACACGAATCATATTAGAAGCACGTCATACATATAATCCCAAAAACATCAACATGTCCAGAGCATGCTATACATATAATCACAAGAAACATCACTATGTCATATTATCATACTTATCAACTCAAGAGACATTATCATGTCGATAGTATGCTACATATCAATGTAATAGACATCACTGTCATATTATCATGCTTATCAAGTCAAGAGACATTATCATGTCAATATCATGCTATATATCAATGCAATCGACATCACTGTCATATTATCATGTTTATCAGCTCAAGAGATATTATCATGACGATAGCATGCTATATATCAAAGTAATAGATATTACTATGTCATATTATCATTCTTATCAATTCAAGAGACATTATCATGTCAATATCATTTTATATATCAATGCAATAGACATCACTATGTCATATTTCTGGTTTTCTAGGATGAACATTGTCCACCTTTAAAGGCATATCTTTAAATTTAAATATCATTTAACCCTGCAACCAATTTATGACAATCTAGATTCATAAAAATAGAACTTTCATATAGGAAGTTTCCCCAAATATTGGTATAAAGTTTGTCAAACTATTTGATGTTCTCGGATGAAATTTCT